CGTCCTCCTCCTCCTCCTCTCCTCCTCCTCGTCCTATTCCTCCTCCTCCTGGTGGTGGTGGCGTCGATATTCCTGGGGCAACCACAAGGAAGCGATACCGCTACTCCCAGGAACTTTTCTGGGGTGCCGTCTGACCAGAACTCCGAAGCGGATCCAGCCGTTGCGGCGAGGTTCGTCCAAAAGGCCCTCAAAAACTGGGAAAACGAGAAAAGGACAGCGGCATCGGTGGCACGTTTCCCTCCTCTAATTTCCCCCGGTTTCTTCTCGTCCCTCACGCTTCTGTTGAATATTCGGGTGACCTGTTCTGTCCCGTCGTGCCTCTATCCGCGTCGAATCCGTGCCGAATCCACGCCGGACTCGCGGAATCCGCGTGGAATCCACGTCAAACCGAATCCACGCCACATCCAGGCCGAATCCGCATCGAGTCTGCGTCGGGCACAAAACAAGACACCAACTTCTGGGACAGACGAGGCCTTCCTCCTCCTCATCCTCCTCCTCCTTTTCCTCCTCCTCCTCGTCCTAGTCCTGCTGTTCCTCCTCCTCCTCCTCCTCCTCCTCCTCCTCCTCCTCTTCCTCCTCCTCCTTCTCCTCCTCCTCCTCCTCCTCCTCCTCCCCCTCTCCTCCTCCTCTCCTCCTCCTCCTCCTCCTCCTCCTCCTGCTGCTACATGACGGGCACGCCGCTGCACCTGCGCCTCCTCCTCCTCCTCCTCCTCCTCCTCCTCCTCCTCCTCCTCCTCCTCGGGCGCCCTCAAACTGAGGGGCACGTCGCTGCACATGCGCCTCTGCGACGCGGTGCTCGTTGTAAAGCTGCTGGAGAAGGTGCCCCTGTGACTCCATGGAGGTTGTTGTAGCGTCGAGCAGGTGGTGGTCGTAGTGCACGCGCTCCGCTCGTAGATCCGCCGTCACCGCGCAAGCCTCTTCGTGCTGGTGGAGCGGGGCGATGTGGTTATGCGTGTCATCGGTCCGCCCCCCCGTACATGGATGACTTCGGTCTTGTCGAGGTAATGCTTCTCCTCGGCCTCCATGATATGCTTTTGGCCGTAGATCTCGTTCTCGAGGTATCTGGTTCGTTGCTCTGAGAGGTCGCAGTTGCGCTGGAAGTGATTGCGGGCCCAGTCCTCGATGCTTGCGTTCTTAGCTTCCGCTGTCGCGAGTTCTTGTCGTAGTTGTGACTGTGCGTGCTATTGTTTATGGAATAGATGCGCTGCATTCCTTGTCTGCCGTAAGTCGTCGATGATGATATGTTGCTGGCGCTCTAGGCTCTGCATGGCATCACCTTCCTCTTCTCGAGGTCGTTGCGCTCGATCATCGCATCCGCGACTCGTGGCTGTCGTGGTCGGTGCATCTGAACTCGCGCATCTTCCAAGGAATTCTCGTAGCATTGCCTTGATTCCTTGGAGATTATGTTATGGTGGTCGACGGTTTGCCGCATGATGTCGCTGGCCTCGCGGAGTTCCTTCCTGGGTCTCTCGATGACGATGCTGTCTGTCTCGGTCTTGTGCGCGCTGTGCTCTGCGATCTTCTCGGTTGCCTTCCTGATGCTGTGGGCATCCTTCTTGTGCTCCCCCATCTGGTCGCGCTCGAAGCGCTGGAGCTTGCGGTAGCTTCCCCTTCCGTGCTTGTAGTAAGACCCCCTTCGCTTCCTCGAGCTGGTCGATGCTGGCTTGGCTCTTGTCTTGCGCGGCACGACGTCGTTCAAATCTGGCTTCCTGCCGCGCCTCGCGGAGCTCTTGTCGCAGCTCTGCGACGGTGGAGGCCTCCGCAGGCACTTTTTTTTTGAACCGTGAAACGTAATCCGCATCCCCCCCAGGGGGCTTTGGGATGAACCGGACAGAGCAAAGCACGGAATAAGCAGGACAACAATTCCGCACAGACAGAACCAGCACGCAGGCACTTGAGTCGCCGGTGATGCCGGCGGCGCTTCCCCGAGGCACCCTCGGCGACGTCCCCCGCGGGTCGGGCGCCGGGGTGCCGGGGCGCCGCTGCCTCGGGGGCGCCTCCCGGGCGTCGTCGCCGGCTCGGCAGCGGCGCCGCCGGTCCGAGGCGGCCCCCCGGAAGCCGTCGCAGAGCCCGCGAAGCCGTCGACGTCGGCCCCCCAGTAGCGTGGCCTTTTTTTTGTGCCCGGACAAAACACCTGGGCGACACAACCCGAAGGGAGGTGCCCAAGGCGCCTGCATGAATTCACATGCAGTCGGACCTCGCAACACGAACGGCGGCACGGACCCGCCCCAGGCGTTATCCGCGCCGCCGTTGCGAGGTGCCTCGAGAAGCCACCCCTGGCCTTTTGCTGCAGCACCTCCAGCTGACGTCGCGCGTCGTCCACCTGGGCGAAAGCGTCGTCGGTCTTGCTCTCGGCCTCTCTCCGCTTGGTCCTCTGCGTCGCGTGGGTGTAGCAGCATGGGCTTTTGTTGTCGGACCTTGGTGACGATGCCGTTGAAGTCGTAATCGTCGTTGGTGCGCCGCTGGATGGTGGTGATGAGGCAGTAAACGTCATCATTGC